AGAAAAAAAAAAACAGTTTTAACCCGGCAGCACTAATGCATGGAAGTATGAAGCCCCTTGTATCAAACTCATGGTTCATGAGAAATATTAATCTACTCAGCCCTGATAAAGTTTTTTTTCAATGTTTTTTTTTTTAAAACATTTTTAAATAGTTCACTGAACATTTATAGTATGGAATTCCCACATTACATGTGCAAATGGATCTTTTTTTGAAACAATATCTAGAGCTATGTTCATTTCATAGTAAATCAATAAATTTAAAAACAGGTCCATGCATTGGTCAAGAATTAAAACCAGAAAAAATATAATACTAGGTCATGTACATGATGTAGGTAAATACAATATAAACTTATTTTCTATTATTATGAATAGAAAAAGAATAAAATAAGAGATTTCCTTTAAAGGGAAAGTCCGCGATTTTTTACTTATCATCTAAATATGTTCATCTTAACATAAAAAACACATTCACAAAGTTTTAAATTTATATTCTTTCTAATAACGGAGAAAATTAAGTATTTGTAACTTTTTTGGCTGACCTACGTCACTGGGTTGTGACGTTTTAACCCGATTTGTTGAATCATGGGAAAAAATAAAATCTGTTAAAGTCTTAATTGCTTATCAGAATTTTACGTAATTAAAAGCGCACAGATGATCGTTGGTCGTAGTTAATAACCACAATATAAGAATGAAAGAAAAGGAATACGCGTTAACCGTTTTGTATTGATTGAATAAAACTTCCTATGTAAAATTATCTAAATATAAATATTTTCGAATTAATTTCATAAATTTTTGTTGAGATTGTTTCATAAAATATCTATTGAACATTTTTACTGATATTGAACTGAAATATTTAACGTTTTATTTACCGTTATAACTTTGATAACCATTTCAATGCAAAATATATGTGAACAGAACGTGTATATTACTTTGTAAAGTCATTGTTTATTTCTCGATTTGAGGAGAATTCCTTTGAACTTTACCTTGCAGCAATTTAGCCTCAGGCGTACACAGGTGTGAATTCAAGCGTACACAGGTGTGTATGTTGTCATTTTGAATGGATTAACAGAAAGAGTATAGCGTGTTTAATACACCAAGATGAAATATCCGATGACAATAGAGAAACAATAATTAAATTGTATAAATTAATTGAAAATAAACATTCAATTTTTTTTCAATTCCTGAAGTGTATACAATATTACAGTGGAACAATTTTCGATTACGTTCTATGCAATTTGCATGAAATTAAAATATGAAGTTAAAAGAATAGTACTTTTAATCTTAAAAATTAAATGTTTCATTTCCCAATTAATAATAATTGCACATCTGTTTAATTTACTTTACCGGAATTCTTTAACTTGTATTTAAATCTGGCGATGTTAAAATGCTAACAATCGTAAAACTATCTAAATTTTTCAGTTTTTAATTGAAAAAAATACAACAGTACAACATGCATGATTTTTTAAAATTTTCTTTTTAACATTTCATTCTTCATAATTAAGTTAATCTGCCAATCACTTAAACGAATTATTTGTAAAAAAAATCGTGTATTTCATTAATAGATATACATACATTATAAATCTAAGCTAATACATTATTTTGCTTGAGGATTTTTTTTAACAAGTTTTTTTTATATTCTATAATAATTTTGTGCAATGCTGAACAGGATAGCCGTCATTAATCCAAATAAGAAATACAGAAGTTGTAATAAAAGGCATATCTTAGTAATGTATAACTGATATTGACGATTTTAGAACAGTTCGTCCCAACCTCGTTGTTCTTGAAACAATCTTTACTAGTAGACTTGTAAGTTTTCTGACGTATAAGCACCAGAGGTTCTTTCTAACAGACAAAGCAGACTAGTAGCGTTTCGTTAGTTTGTTTTTTGGGACAGGAGAGGCCAACCACTGGTACAGATAAACAGAATCACCATACAAGCTTATGTTGTCAACACTATAAGAAAGGGGTTCCCATCATCGGATGGGGTATATGAAGGCCAAGAATGTACAAGTGACATGTCTGACTCTGAACAGCTAGTAAACCGACTTAATAATGATCTATAGACATCGACCGCTTGTTCTTGATATTTGAAACTGCATGCATATATACGTTTATGAGAGTGATTATTTATCTTGTGTCTGACGAAAACTAAATGCCTGCATGGTTATATCTTGCCATTTTGTAATGGTTTGATGGGTGTTCACTCAAAATCGTAATTCAAAAATTGTGTTTGTGAGATGAAGATTCACTTTAATAACGAATTTCGTCTATATATTTCACAAGTGTATACCACGAAGAAGCTCTAAAGGTATATTACTCCCATTTTGTTTGGGTGTGAACCATCGATGTTTACAGTAATATTTAATGAATAAGATGATGATGGTAAAAAGAAATATGATCGTCATGTGGCAAATATTACATGAATGTCGGATCATGAGTTATCTATCTGTATGAAAAGATTTCCAATACAACCATATTGAGTAGGAATTTTTACATGCTTTATTCGAGTCGTACTAGTATTACAGGCTTCTCATGTCGTTTGAATCAGACTGACACATCTTTTACTTTATGATGTATGAAAGGTTCTATATATATATTAAATGTAACAATAATCAAACGCCTACAGGCAATAACTAAACGGGTATGACGTTTTTATACAGATCTCTTTTTATTTACATAATCATTAACAAACTAAATAAAATGAACAAAGAAATTGAACAAAGAAACACAGTGACACTACGATATAGCATGGGATACTTAAATATTTTTAACCATTCTATGCATCAAGTTATCGCACGTGAATACCAATTTGGAACACGATGTGTGATTTTGTATAACTAAAAATATCAAACGAGCAGTAACTTTGTCTAACAAATATTTTTTTTACTATGCCTCTCTTTATCTCTTTTCCTTTACAATTACTATTACCCTTTTCGTCGATCATTCTCTATATAGTATATTGTTCTCTATTCGGTTAAATTTTTTTCACAATGCCACTCTATCTCCGCTCCTTTACAATGAGTATTTCCACTGTCGTTCTAATCCTTATAAAGATAGGGACATTAGACATAGAAGAGCTCTCTTATCTTCAATAAATAAATATTGATACTGACTATAAGTGCTGCATTACTTTACATCTGCATGTTTGCCAATCGTCAAAAGCTTGTATTTGCGTGAAGAATTTTTGTTTTCAAAAGAAGGGTCCAGAATCATGACAAAACAGTATTTATTTCACAAAAAATAAGGTCATGTTTATAAAATTCTAAAACTTATTATCAGAAAAAAATAGTGGATAATATTATTATCAGAACATCATTCATTAACAGGACTGGTGGAATTATAATTTCAAACACGCACAAGATAAGCAAAGTCGAATACAAATATATGTGGTTCAATAAATGTTACCTGTGCACGCCGGGTACCTCTGTAAATAATCCATGCATGAACCTGTATTATATAATTGTGTAATACGAATTTTTAGTCGACAGGATGTCACTGGAATACACAAGGACGTGTATCTAATATACGTCCTTGGGATAACTAACTGAATGTGTCGCTCTGACACGACATCTATCAATAATTCTGACATACCTATTATCAATTCGGGAGGAAGCCAATATATATATATATATAATAAGATAACGTAAATAAAATTAAAAAATGAACATTTCTATAACCTGGGAATATTATACTATATCAACATATTTTGTCTTAGCTAAAACCTCTTCCTAACGGTGCTCCTTGTCAATAGCCGTTAAATATCATAATTAAAAAATGTTATTTATCGTATAACTTTATTAATTTGAAAAATTATCTAAATACGGAACTATTCTTTATATAAATCAATGCACTTTATATAAAAGAGGCATACTAATGAATCTTTTGTAAATCAGTGCTTGTTACAAGAATACTGCATTTTTCTTTCTTATAATTGAAACTTTTCTTCCTCATCAAATCTATATTTTTTTTAATCAACGAGATCTTATCATATACGGATTTGATAACTATAGCTATCAGAACTGCTAGGTTATATTGTTATTTAAAAAAGTATAATTACCACCAAATCTCCCTCGAAACAAGATTGTTCAAAATGGTCTTCACACATCAACTTGTGCTTGCTATAGATGCCACTATTTGCTGTTAGTTTAAGGTTGTACAATCATGTCTGATACAATTCTTTCTTTTTTTGTGGGTTTGGGAAAACTATTTAGACTTTTGTCATAACCTTGTCGGACAGAACAGCCGTACGCTTGACAAGACATTTTCACACTGAGTGATCGTCTACGGTAATCCCCGATTGATGATGGGAGTTTTTAACGCACGGTCGGTAAATCCCTGATTCATTTTGGTATTTGTGGTTTTTAGATATCACGTGACTTTTTAGATCGAACATGCCGACAAGATGGCGATATGTCGAGAACTTATAGTGAATTTCAAAAATCGATTTTGATCTCTTTTCATAGAGAATAAAAGTTTTTTATTTATGAACATGTTGTTTTTTTATGCTTAAAGAACAATATATCAATTTTTCATTTTTTTGCGGAGTTTCCCTTTAAGAGATGAAGCTATTTGTTTATTCAATAAAGTTATATGCATGTGAAAGCCATTACTTCTTCAAGAGTTCATTATGAGACCAGAGTATTATTTGACTATTAAATACATAATGTCTATAATTATAATTATATAATTATAATTATCAAAATTTTCATAAAAACTTATGATAATTTTTCATTTATTTCAAATAGTTTTCTCAAACTTAATACCAAAAGCATTGTATATGTTATATTAAACCGAAAGTCCTTATAATGCATACAATACTTTCTTGTGGTTTTCCATGATCCATAATAAATGTAGACATATATCGTTCTGCTGATTTTCATATGTTAATGTACTGGAAAATTCTTATTGAATTCCTAAACTTGTATTTTATTTCACATGTACATGAAACATGCAAAGAATATTCATATATGTATGTAAAATGTTGTGAATTACAATATATATACCAGTAAGTACATGCAGTTACCAGCCTGCCAAATATGATGTTTGAATTATAATTCTCACTCATTTCACAGTTTTATGTATATATCCAAAATCATCTCAATAACTGCCATATGATGTAATGATATGAACATTTCCTTTTGTGTGTTGATCTTACAGGAAAGAAAAGCACAGTCATTTCCTCTGGTGTAATACTTTTATTTCTTTGTCTTCAATGTTTCAGAGTCAGTTTTAACAGTCATGTAATTGTTCCTTTTGTTGTCATACTGAAAATTGCTTCATTCCAAAAGTCACATGTGACATGGCATGGGGTTATTTCATATTCAGCACTTGTTATAGTTTTGTTATATGTCCTCTAGCTTTTATCTTTAAAAAATTCATTTCACTTTCTTTTCATGCATAGATCTAAAACTCCCATATATGGTTATAAATTGTCTGACAATTTCCTTGTGTGTTGATCTTCAAAAGAAACAAGTGGTTACTCCTTTTTCTCTGATTACTTTTTCCAATTTCAGTTAGTAAATACTTGTATAACACCATTGCCTTCAAGTCATCTGAATACATATAATGAAAAAAATTATGTAAACATTTAGTGGCATTTTGAAGTTATTGGTATTGAATGTTATGATACAAAAAGAAAACTTCAGTCAAAATGTTGTGTTCCTAAATTATTATTGGATTAAAAGTAAACTTGACAAAAAAGTTCTACATTAATTTAAAATGAACTTTTAATTTATGAATTTTCTGTAAAAGTACAATACAGTTTTTAAGTACAACTTACTTCAACTGATATTTACCCATCAATTTGTTATTAATTAATATGACTTAATCAATATTGAGTGGGTGTGACTCAATACAACAGACAACATATTGTGACGAAAAAGAGAGGACGGTCGGGTAACTGGGGGAACTAGGAATGCCTGAACCTGACGACGACGAATGAAAGTGATGGCAATTTCCTAATACTCCTGTGGTACTCCGCTTTCTCTCAGGTTGATCCTCCAAGTATTGTTAAGTTTCATGAATCAGGTAGCGTTGTACTGAGAATGTTCCTGGTCACATAAATTATAAGTGGATCCTTGAGTAGTGTATAACTAAAAGATACTCGAAGTCAATGATAAGTTCAACTTGTATTAAAAAACATGTGGAATATACGCAATTTAACAATGCATAGTAAACGGACGGTATTACAATAAATTCACCCTACAGACTACAAAACTCTTGACTTCTTACTATTACTGCCTAAAATAATGCCTAACCTCCCTATTTATACTCCCCCAATTAACCTGAATAATCATAAAACACTTAACTCCCTTAACCAATGAAAAAGTGACAAATAACTGGTAGGGCTAGTAGGGCACCTGGTAGGGCACTACAGCTCCAGTGGTAGGGCTGGTAGGGCACCTGGTAGGGCTCTGCAAACTAGGTCAACAAAACAGGAAATGTCTGTCATTGATAGTTAAATTACATTTATGAAACAAAGAACAACCTTTAAAAACAGTGGGCTGACTAATTATAACTGACAAACTTATATATGAATGATGAAACTTGTTAACCCCACCTTAAAAAGAGCAAAGTAAATGATAACACTATTGCTATAACTGTAAATACATACAAATACATATAAAATCTTGAAAAAGGGGGAGAATACCAAAATACAATATTCATTACACAGCCCCCCTCTTAGCCCTGAACTTCCACTGTTCAGCAAGAAAATTGACACAACAAAAAATGAATATGATACCTGATAATAATAATAAAAAAAAAATATGTGAGATAGCTATAGGATCGAGTATTAACATATGATTTTGGCACATTTAACATTATATAATCATGATACTTATAACAAAAATATTTATCTCTTGTTAACTTCCAAATAAACATTATTTATGCATTTAGTATGGAACACTTTTTGGCATTATGTTTCTCTCTCTCTCAAAAAAAAAAGAAAATGAAATTAATGAAATATGTAAAATATGGTACCGTTATAAGATAAAGGTGAATAACTTAGCACCGGAATGATAATTAAAAAAAAATGGAATACTTAACACACTCATATAAAATACATAATTCTGTTCCTCTAAACACAACAAAATGAATGGAATGTGTACTCACGTTATACTTTTTGTATACATGTAAATAAAACAGTAAAGCTATATAAAAAAAACCAACACGAGACGGTATAAATCTCCTTATACGACTAGAAATAAAGTTATATATGGACTTAGGACACCAACCATAGGGACCTAGGCACCATGAGAATCAAAATATATGTTAAGCATCATTGACGCACCAAAAAGGGCATTCAATGTACCAAAACTTCAACAACAACAAAAATAGATCTAGAAAAACATGATAAACCCTTTTTTTTACATGTATACTTTCATGTACAGGTACAAAACAAGGTACAAGTAAAATATAAAAAGTTCCATATAAAAAAAAAAACTGTCATAAAAAAAACATCCATGCATATATAAGAAACAAAAATAGGTCTTTAGCTACTCTACAGGTTTGACAACCACTTCCGTTCTGCGTAATGCTTCCGCATGTTCACATAGTTCTTCTTCCATATGGCGTATGAAGCCACGCCAATCAAAACTTCTTGGGTCGTAATGTGTTGATGTGGCAAAATTATGTTCCCTTCTTACAGACGAGACTCCATCCCTGCTTGATCGGATTGTTATAAGGGATAAATTCACAATTTCTACACTGTCAATGTGTGAATCTCCTATTTCATCTGGATCACTGGTTGTGGTACATGTATCTGAATCAGAGTTATAAACGTCATCCGGCTCTAGGGTATTGCCTCCTGAAGCACCGTGACAGACACCCTCCTGTGCCGACTCCATATCAAACTCAGAGGCATCCTCCTGCAGAACCACCTCATCCACAGACTCAGGGACCTCAGGGACTTCTGGACTGCTGGGCCCAGGCACATTATCCTCTTCAGCTCTCTTTAACTTCTTTTCCTGTGGCCCACAGGTTTCAATGTTCTCCCTAGAGGTATAACCCAGATAAGCTTCTCTGGACAGATCCCTAGCTTCGTCCACTGTTTTTTTATGAGTACTCTGGAGGTGAATAAGTAGATATTCCCTTCGGAAAAATATACGATCGCAATTTGGTTCATTGCACCCCACATATTTCACATTACTATTATGCACAGCATTTATATGCCTTTTCAAATTCCTCCGACTAGCATACTTTGTGTCACAATAGATACAAATAGCTCCTGGCATTTTGTCTAAAGTATCAATATCTAAAAATCTTGTAGGTCTGGTAATTGTTCTGGTTCTCGTGTTTGTTGATGCGGAAATGGTCATGTGGTTTCTAATTCGCGCGCTTGGTCGGGCTGGTCGGGTACCTGATTCCGGGATTCCCAAATTAGTCGGGCATGTATCAGAACAGTTTTTGCCATCGCTTGTCGAAACCGGTATTATTTCAGGCGGACATATTTTTTCTCCTCCAATAATTCTTGGTAGATTTTCACTCACAGAACTATTTTCATCATCGAAATCAGCTGTAAATTTGGCTAAATCCGGGAATTCAACAGGGTGTTGCTCGGGCACATCGGGCATATCAGGACGGGCGTTTTGTTGATTAAACCAAACCATTTTTTTAGATCCCAAATACGGTTTTAAAATATCACCATGAACAGTTACTTCTGGAGAATTCTTAGCACACTTCACTTTAAACGTAATGTCACTAAGCTTTTCAGTTATTACCCAAGGTCCAGTCCAATGACGAGCAATTTTGAGCTTAATTCCTGGAACATTTTTCTTTTGGTTTCTCCACACGTAGTCTCCGACGTTATAGACGACTGGTCGAACCTTAGCATCAAAAATATTTTTCTGCCTCTCAGCAGCAGACTTTAAATTATTACGGGCTAACTCATGTGCTTCCCTTAATTTATGTTCAAGTTTATTAACATACTCAGAAATAAAGTTTTCTTCTTCATTGTCATCCGAGACAGTCTCAGTCATTAAATTTAATGGAAACGACATCTCCCGACCGTAGATCATGCGGTGAGGTGTAATACCAGTGCTTTCGTGGGGTGTTGCGTTATAAACCATAACAATATAGTCTAAATGTTCATCCCAATCTTTTTGGTGTTTCTTAATATACTTCGAAAGTATATCATTGACGGTCCTATTCATTCTTTCAATCATGCCATCGGATCTTGGGTGAAGGGGTGTCGTTCTAGTTTTATTTATTTCTAATAACTGACATAACTCTCTGAAAACAGCACTCTCATATTGTCGACCTTGGTCGGAGTGAATTTCCACCGGGCAACCGTATCTCTTTACCCATGCCCTAAATAAAATATCCGCAACGGTTTCTGCTCGCATATCAGGCATGGCATAAATTTCTGTTAATTTCGAAAAATAATCCCCTATTACCAAAATGTACTTATTCTTATTAATCGATGTAGGAAAAAGGCCAGCAATGTCACTCGCTATCCGTTCGAATGGGGCACCAACTACGTACGACTTCATCTGATGACGTTTCTTGGCCATCGGGCTTTTGCGTTCCCCGCATATTTCGCACTGCTGTATATATAACTTAATAGATCCCTGCATATCTCGCCAGTAGAAGGGAGATAGCTTCGCCTTTTCGTAAGTTTTCTTTATTCCTAAATGTGCACCCGTTCGAGCATCGTGTAAATACCAGAGAATAGGATCTACTAACGACTCGGGCACGCAAATCTTCCATCGGGCCTGTTGGGCCATTTCAACCCATTTCAAACACAATACATTATTTCTAATTTCCAAAAGCTCCCATTTGGCTAACCAAAATTTTAAATTCAAACCATAACCGCAAATTTCTTCCCAGGCGGGCTTCTCGATTTTATTTTTAAAGTTCAAAATTTTCCCTAAAATAACATCAGCTTCTTGTCGGGCTCTTACTGCCTCTAAACTCAGATCTATATTTGGCATCGGCTTTTGCTCGGCGTTTTGGTCTGTTGCTCTTTCGTCCCCTCCTAACTAAAGGAGATTCTCCTGAATCAGGATCGACTACTACATCTGTATTGTTATTTCCTACACGGTCAAAGCTTGGTCTCGTGTGGTCGTCATGACTATCTGAGTTTTCAGAAACTACGTCTATGCTTTTCTTATCGCCCTCTTTCATATATTTAATTTCTGTTTCAATCGGACCCTCGTAGCCATAACCCCAAGGCATCTCACATTGTTTACAAAATTCTCCATTATCAGTTACTAGCCGCGACATCGCATCTGCGTTCCCATGGCGTACTCCTGGCCTGTGCTCAATTTTCATGTGAAACTGGCTCAGTTGCTGAATCCATCGATGTATCTGCCCATCGGGCTCCCGAAAATTCTGAAGCCACGTCAGGGACCCATGATCGGTTCTTATACGGAACGGACGTCCTAAAAGATAATGTTTAAAATACTTGGTAAAATAAACAACAGCGAGCATTTCCCTCCTTGTCACGCAATAGTTGCGTTCCGGCTTATCCAAGCACCTACTACCGTACGCAATTACTCTCTCTTTCCCGTCCTGAATTTGGGATAAAACGGCTCCAATGGCATAGGCGCTGGCGTCAGTATCCAGTATAAACTCGGACCCATCAGCCTGCGGAAATCCCAATATAGGTGCCGAAATTAACCTACTTTTCAGTCCTAGGAAAGCAGCTTCTGCATCTTTGTTCCAAGCAAATTTCTGGTTTTTCTTTGTACGGTCAAACAGA